GGCGTTATGCAAATCTTCCCACATTGTGATGTAGACATGTGGGGGCGTGTTAGAATGAGCCGTTTTAGGTAGGCGTGGTTGACTCTTAACTTTTATAAAGAATATCTCTTTGGATTTGAGACTTTAGTTTTTGCAACTTTACAGATCTTATTTATGCACCAAGAGCTTGTAACACTCCAAAGAGAAAGGAAAAATTGAAATCGCATCATATGACCCCTTTAAACGACTCTGACAGACTCTTCAAATTGCTGCACTACCTGATTATAACCAGAAGATGGAGCAATACATTTTCCTCCCACATTTTCCTGCAATAATGACTGCCGTTATAATATTCACTTTAAATACTGTGAACTCTAAAGAAACTGCTTTGAGTTTTTATTTTCCTTGAAACATATTACATAAAAAAGTTACAAATCACAAACATCTGTGACAAATATTTGAGTGAACACAAGCCTATTAAACACACAATAGATTATATCGCTCTAGAACGCTACTCTAGTAAATCTAGCAATAAACACTATTTGTTTTATTTATGAAACAGCCGTAAAGTTTCATGTGGAATCTGCGCATGGCAACTAGCAACACTCGCGCGCTCTCTATGGAGGATGCGGCGAGCTGAGTTGCAAAACGGAACCGGGAGAACTCCGCCGTCACGCGCCGCCGCCTGCAGACATCAACACAGCTGCGGAACAAACACATACACACCCGTGTTCCTGACGCCCCGGTAATGGCGGATGAACGGTAAGATTGCGCATGTCGGCGTGTGATGAAACTGCAAGACTGTAAAATCAGTAGGTGACTGACTAATCATGATGTCTTACATTCAAATTCACAAACAATCCATTTAATTCGTATTATCTGAATCTTGGATTTATAGTAGGGTGTTATTGAAACACTAAGTGATCGTATCAGGCCAGAAGAGAGCCCCATGGAAGGCCTAATGGCCAATTTCAGAAAAAATACAAAATAAATAAATAAAAATAAAACCCAAGGCAGTGCCACTACATTGGCAAGGTTTTAGACATTTCTTCCAATGCTAACTTCACATTTGTACAAACTTTTATTTTGAATTGCCCATTTGACCATGTCGTTTACGTAGATACATTTCAGTATGCAAAATTATATAGGCCCTAATTCTGCTTTTTGAAAGCATCTCAAGCTGAAGCTCATCGGCTCCCAAAACTGCTGCAGAACCGCTTCTTCCCACACTAACCTCATTGCGCTGATTGACCGCCAGAGGGCGCTGCTGGAAGGAAAGTCTTCCTACTGTAAGCTTGAAGAAGCAGACCTGACAATTTGATGTGTTTTTATTTGGCCCCACAAGATGAGACACGCCAGCTAGTAACTTTGATTTTATTATGCTTAAAATATGAATCCAGCGACCTTTAGTTTGCTATTTTTCCTTGTGTGGATTTTTTTCTTGAATTTAAGGCATGTTCACACAAAATGGCTGCCAATCAGAGCCCGCCATTCAATCATATGTGTTAGAATCATCTTACAGACATTTTTTGTTTTGTTTTTTGTCCTCACTGAAAAAGCATACGGGAAAACGTTAATGGTGGTTTACGTTATTTTAATAAGAAAACAGGTCGGTTATTTGACTTGACCGGTTTAAACAAATGAACAATTTAACTCTGATTATAAAACACAAGAATAGCAGTCTTAATGTCATAATTTCATTTGTTTACAAGCAACATTGAATGTTGTACTGACGTAGACATTCATTTTTAGTTTTCTCTAATCGTAAACTTTTACAGAAAAGTTGTAAAGTTTCAAAATCATGTAGGCTATCAAAAGAGCGGGAATTACCAGACTGTTTTTTCCCACCTTTTCCCTCCCAACAGGTATTTGACGGGATATTTTGACGCTAATGAACTTGACAAAGATTGTCAGGAGTTTTCTAAAAAGTTTCGTTTTATTATCCACATCAGTCTGGATTTGAAACTTCAAGATCTCTTCACGTCACATCTACAGGTATAGAATTTCATCTTTTTCTAGCCATGTAAACTGCTGAACTGTTGAAAAGCATAAACACCCGCGTAAATAATAAATTAGGCTATATTTAAATATTTTCCTCAGTGTGTCTAAAATCAAAGCGCGTGTTTGTGCGTCCGTTCCCGCGTTTATTATTCGCGTTTGGAGTAAAGGAGCGACATAAACTCCTCTTACATTTCACAGGCGCTATGAAATATTCATGCTGGAAAATTCCTCCATTCTGCACAAATGAACGCGCCACGAGCAGCCCGAACAAAACTGAAACAAACGAGCCTCGGTCGGTGTAATAGCCTAAAACCTACAACAGAAGTTTTTTTTTTAGTTAAGTCAAGATGTTACTCAAAACTAGCCTAATCATATTTTGACTCCTTCACAGGGTCAGACACGGAGCGCATGGCCGTGCACTCCATTTCGGGTGAGTGAGATATTTATAAATTGTGTAGCCTATGCTAGAAATAAATATATGAACATAACAGCTAACAAGAATATCCATTCTGTGAGCGCATGAACATTAGAAGCAGATCAGCAGCGCTACCTGTTCGAGTGCTGAACCTTTATGAAACCATGTCACAATAACTTGATCATACAATATGATTAAACTAGGTAAACGGGGGGAAAGACGTCGTCAGGTCCTTTTTACAGGAGAGCGACTGAAAGACAGACGGAGAGGAAAAGAATCCTGAATGCTTCTTTTATACTTCCGTTTGACGTCATGATTTAACTGTGACGTAATGAAGGAGCGTTCAGCCGTCGACATAAATAACCCACATAAGATCTTACTGTTTTACAAGGAATGTTGTTGCAAGCTGTTAAAATGTTTAGAATGCATATCAAATGTTTTAAATGTATTCATTGTTATCTGTTGAGTATTAGCTATTTTGCAGTAGCCTAAAGATAACAAATGCAGCCAATTCATTTAGTTTTAAACAAAAATCATAATAAATACACATTAATTAATAAATACAAGCTTTCCGTTTTGTTCAACTGGTCATGTTAATGTACTGAAATTGAGCAGACAAAATTGTAACTTTTTTTTCTTAAGAAAATGAAAAACATATAGGCTAAACGCTGTATATTGCGTTTTAAACAGAAATTATAGGCGGATAATAACCTGAAATCTAATAACGTTTTAAAAACTTTTTCGCAGATTAATAGAAACGAAAAATAGCCTATAAACAGCATCAAAGACTGGCAAAAGAAACAACTGATCATCTCCCTGTCACAAATCTTTTTGTGTGTGACAAAATGCGCCAAAATCAGGATAAAGACTAATATTTTACACTATGTTTGAGCTGTGATAATTAGGAAACTGCATGGGAATGTTGTAGAAAATCCTTTCCCCCCTCTATTCTCTATTTTAGCTCTTCAGTTCATCATTAGTAGGCTACACATAAAAGTGATTTTAAAAGTATGTGACTGGGTCAAAACACTTTTAAAATTATAATTCGAATATCGTGTGTGTTTTGAATAGAATACGTCCTTACCTTATAATGAAACCATACATGTAGTGGTCTTTGTAAGAACGACTGATGTAGCAGCAGCCTTCACGTGTAAAACTGAGAAGGAAGCATTTAAAAAATATCCTCCCCTCATACTCGATACGATCGGGCTTGTGTTGGTTTCGGTAGATAATTTCGGAGAGATGGAGGAATTGAACGAATGCAGCATTAAACCAAAAGAAAGGAGAAGAGCTGAATAAACTCTGTGAACTCTATTGACAACCATGCGTTTCCTCGGGGGTTCGGCTGGGTGGGGGTGGGTGAGGTGAAGGTATGGCGGATCCGAACTGCTCAATGCATCCAAACAGACCCTCCAATCTGTTGGTTTTGTTAGCACAAAGCATCTCTGTAAGCCTTCTGCTGTAAACTCACTTTATTGATGAGTTAAACTGGGATCTCGCCTCCTAGCAATGTTGACAAAATGATTTCAATTGAATTAGTTTAATTCAAGATTAAACGAATATTTTCATATTCACTTTGGAGGGAAAGTCTAAATAATGACCAATCTCAACAGCCAAGGCTGCTTCTGTTCAGTGTGTTTTAAAATTATTTTAAGTGAAATGCACTTTAAATATCCAGCTTATGAATGAACATGTCAATTGGTGAACTATTTTGCATTTCAATAGCACCTATTTGCATTGTCCTGATTTAAAAGATCATTTCACATGTGGAAAACATTTCTTTGGTGTTGGATTATGAGTTTGGATTTGAAGAATTAATGTCTAAACTGCTCTGACAGATAGAAAAAGTTTGGTTTGTTTCTTTAAAAAGAAAACAAGAGATCCTCCAAACGTTACATTTTAAAAGTTTAAACTCTTGCTAATTAAAAAAAAAAAAAAGTTGAACTCTTACTAAGTGGTTTATGAACAATTCAGGATTGAAACAATTTAACTGAACACGTGCGATTTAAATGCTGTGCAATATTTTGCTTTAGAATGTATTACTGTTTAATCCCCTTTAGTTTACATATAATTTGAATTACATAAGTATGGATTTAATGAGAGCTTAAAATTAAACCAACACGTTCGTGACTGTTATAGGTAATTGCTATGTCTGTGGATTTTAGGAAAGTTTGTAGAGTGTTGTTATTCAGTCCAGCATTAAACTCAACAGGTCAAAATCAGTTAACAGTTTTGTGTAACATTCATCGGAAATAAAAATGACAAGTTTGAATAACCTGCTGATGACTTAAGCCTCGCTTTTTCTTCTGTTTTATTTTCTAAACTCTAAAATCACAAGCGGTTTTTTTTTTTTTACCACCACAAATCAATATTCTTCAGTGCTGTTGATTTAAATAACTTTTCTAACGGGGACCTGTTTTGCGTTTCCGGTAGACATAAAACACAGAGCAACTTCTTTATTTATCTGTCTGTCCTGGAACTTATTCGATGCTTGCGAACTTTAACGGGATCAAACGGGGACATTTAGGGTGTGTCCGTGACCTCGTGGGGCGTGTTTCCCGGCACTCGCGGGGCCGTTTTATGAATGGTGGATGTGAAGCCCTCGTGCAGGAAATGAGAAACTCCATAACATCTGACACCGGGGACCAGATCCGTGACCTGCGCCGTAATGGCACGACCACGATCCATCTCTTCCACACACACACAGCATCTCCGACAGCAGAACTAGGAGCAGTGGGGGTAGTTTTCGATTCACTCCACCAACGTGTTTTTCCTCTGGCTCAAAGACAGAGAAAAACATCCTCTGCCAAGGCATCAGGTTTGATCATGAGGTTGCCAGAAACGTTTACTGAACGAATTTCTTGTAGAAACGAAAACATTATGTTGTTACAGGAGAAAATTATTTCAGTTGTCAGTTTCAGCTTATTTTCCATTTCAACTTGTTGGTTTAATGCACATTTGAATACAGTTTTTTTTGTGAACAGATCACTCAGATACAATTCAAAAGAACATAATAAGCACAGAAACAGAAAGAGAAAGTAACATTGCATTTCATCCGTTCCATACTTTCATTTTTAGAACATTCCATTATATGGGTTACATTTTGGGTTCAATGTTTACCATGCGTTTATCACTTTATATACTGGAAAAAGTGGGGTGATTTGCTAGTTGTTTTGGAATAAATGCTCTCTTTTCATGAATCAACAGATCATGTATTTTGAAGGCTAAATATATTTATATTGTTGCAATACACTTATTTTATGTTTGTTCTGTCTAGACATGCATTGATGTAGATATCCTTATGTATATATTTTCAAGTGCGCAAAGCTCATGTAACCCAGAAAAAAAATCCATGGAGGACTTGGTCAATAAGGTCTTCTTATTCTGATTCAGTCTCACTGACGTTTGTACTGCAGCAAACAACAAATGCAAACTGCAGCGTGCTTCAACAAACGATCATTTGATGATCTCATTTCTCCCAAACTATATAATACGGAATGTTTTGGAAACGCTTAAACAAACGCAGAAAGACATCAGCAACAGCAGAACAACAAAAACATTTTTAGTGAATTTTAAAAGATACCAAATGCGTGCAGAAGAAACATTTCCGTCTTTTTGGTTAATGACATAAAGGTATAACTTTAAAACAAATTGATATAATAGGCAAACGATTATTAATCTGCAGTTTAATGGAACAGTAAAACCAACTACCCTCTGTATAAAGAGATACATTCTGGAAAACTTTTGTGTAGCATTTCGCTACGACAAGTGTTATACAAGTATTTACTTTCTAAGACTATAAAGTATAATGAATGACTGTGGTTACCAGCGGTTGGAATTTGGTTACATAACGCATCATTAAATTGTTACATATAAATGAAAAAAAAAAAAACTAAAATGCTGGACTTTTTATGGCCCCTCGAATGACTTACAAAACAGATTTTAGACGTCATAAAACGCGTTAAAAAACTGAACCTGTACAGACGGAGATGCTTTTACGTGACGCCGCAGCAGTAGAGCTGAAGTCCAGCCCGGTTCCGAGTCCGCTCCCTCTCCCGGGCTCAGGGAGCAGTCACGTGTGCAGCGCTGCGAGCGAATGAGAAACTGAGAGCGGGAGAGAGAGAGAGAGAGCGAATGTGCGAGCGAGGGAGGGAAAGAGAGAGGGGATAGATGTTAAAAGAGACATGAGCAAATATCCAAAAAGGAGACGCACGCCGTACCATGCGCGCTAAATTTGTGCCCGCTGGAAATCGGGATGTCGGATCGACGGTGACACGCATCACCCCATTTCACGGAGGAAACGATTTCGCTGGAACTTTGGAACGGAGGATCCGCGGGGAAACATGGCCGAAGGTTACGATGCTTTTTTTTTTTTTT